ACAAAAACATGTTAGTATGCAATCTTATTGCAACCATATAGTTTCATACATTGATTTGTTTTACGGCAAACATCCCACAACTATTATTTTATTATAGATTTATATGTTCCATTATTGGAAAGCAAAAGAGTTGTTATATGTTGTTCAGAGCTTGTCCTATTATAAAAAAAGTTTTATGTTGCTTTATAGTAAACCACTAATTATAATATATCGTCTTTTATAGAAGCAAAGCGCTTCCTATGGTTTACCTTGATGCAATTCAAATACTTCTCACACGTAGTCAATTGTAAAGCATAACTGAATGTATCTTAATATTTTTGTAAGACTTACGAGAACGTAAACTAATTTCATTGTAAAGCATAATATGATGTATGGTGATCTGATTGTAAAGTATAACTGGGTGTATTATAATCTTATTGTAAAGCATAACTAGGTGTATGCTAATCATACTGTAAAGCATAACATGTATGATAATGTTAATGTAAAGCATAACTGGAAATATGATAATTTCATTGTAAAGCATAACATGTATACTAATCTTATCTAAAAGCAGAACATGTATGCTAATCTTATTCTAAAGCATAAAATGTATGCTAATCTTATTGTAAAGCATAACTAGGAATATGCTAATTTCGTTGTAAAGCATAACTGGGTGTATGCTAATCTTATTATAAAGCATAATTGGGTGTATGCTACTCTTATTGTAAGTCTAATCGTTTATTTAAATATAATTTTCTTACTGTAAAACATGTTTTAGTTTTGTAAAGCAACAATCTTGTCATGTATTTTGTTACTTCAATGTATTGTTTTTTATTCCAATTTGTCAAAACCGCTCTTATTGTAAACAAAACGCGTTTATTGCAAAGAAAACTACTCACCTAGTTCTGTTATTGCAAAACAAACTACTTTCTTGATTCTTTTATTGAAAAACAAACTACTTTTTTGGTTCTTTTATTGAAAAACAAACTACTTTCTTGGTTCTTTTATTGAAAAACAAACTACTTTCTTGGTTCTTTTATTGAAAACAAACTACTTTCTTGGTTCTATTATTGAAAAACAAACTACTTTCTTGGTTCTTTTAGTGAAAAGCAAACAAATGTCTGTTTTTCCAAACGATTGTGTTAAATGTTTTATTGTAAAACTAAAGTTTATTTCAGGTGCTTTACCGTGCGTTAAGTTATCTTTTTCATATTAAACATAAAGCAACACAATGCACTATTTATGCTGCACCCATCACTGACATCGAAACCCGGTTTTTTAGCGTTATAAGTCTTCAGACTTACCACTGAGGTCCGTTACCTTTTTTTACGAAACAAAACATTACAGTATAATGCTTACTGAACAGTAAAGATGTTAAAAATATTTTCTTATTACAAAGAACATACATCATATCTTTCCTTACTGTAGAGAAAAAAAAAGAAATGTCCTATTTTATTTCATGGAAATGACTTAAATAAAATGTTCATATTGTAGAAAAAGTAATCGTTTCATAGGTATTCTAGGCCCGGCATGGCCAGGTGGTTAGGGCGTTCGACTCGCAATCTGAGGATCGCGGGATCGAATCCCCGTCACACCAAACATGCTCGCCCTTTCAGCCGTGGGGGCGTTATAATGTGACGGTCAATCCCACTATTCGTTGGTAAAAGAGTAGCCCAAGAGTTGGCGGTGGGTGGTGATGACAAGCTGCCTTCCCTCTAGTCTTACACTGCTAAATTAAGGACGGCTAGCGCAGATAGCCTTCGTGTAGCATTGCGCGAAATTCAAAAAACAAACAAAAACAAACAAACATAGGTATCCTACTGTAGAGTAGAAGAGTTTTTTTCTTTTTTCTATTTTGTTATACGGTAACTTTTGTGATATATTATTAGTTACAAACTAAACCCTCTTCTATGCTGCTTTGTTCTAAGACAGGAACTTAATTTATATTGTAACACTGGAAAAGAGTCTTGTTGTCTTATAGTAAATTAAGGAATTGTCATATGTTAACTTATGAGAAATTAAGGTATGCCGTCTTATGGTAACTTAGATACTTGCTATGTTGTCTTATCATAAATAAATATTTGGTATATGCCGTCTTATGGTAACTTAGATACTTGCTATGTTGTCTTATGATAAATCAAGGTTTGGTAAATGCCGTCTTATGGTAACTTAGATACTTGCTATATTGTCTTATGATAAATCAAGGTTTGGTAAATGCCGTCTTATGGTAACTTAGATACTTGCTATATTGTCTTATGATAAATCAAGGTTTGGTATATGCCGTCTTATGGTAACTTAGATACTTGCTATGCTGTCTTATGATAAATCAAGGTTTGGTTATATGCCGTCTTATGGTAACTTAGATACTTGCTATGCTGTCTTATGATAAATCAAGGTTTGGTTATATGCCGTCTTATGGTAACTTAGATACTTGCTATGTTGTCTTATGGTAAATTAAGAACTTCACAACTTTTGTATTACTGTAAACAAAAGGTTTCCGCACGTTGTCTTATGTAAAAGCTGGACAGAAGCTGTTTGATGATAAATCAAAGATGGTGTTTTCATACACTGTCTTATGGTAAATCAGGCGCTTGACATACTTAAGAAACACGTATTTATAACATACACTTTTTAGATACTAAGAAGAACTTGATTTACTGAACATAACAGTATTTGCACGTGATTGTTAAAACAGCATAACAAAAAGTTAATATTGTATTAATCGAGTATTACTATCATTGAAGGATATTAAAGTTTTACAACCGATGCTACTCATCATGAAACTATGTATACTTATCACTCCTTGTAAGACAGAAACGGACATTAAGAGAAATTTTCAGGTTTAATGTGTTGTTTGCGCTATTCTAAAACATTCATGTACACGTTTGAATGTCAGCGCAATTACTACAGAATCGTTCAGTGATTATATTAACTAATGAATCCAAAGTCCTACTATGCCATGAACTATGAAAGTCACCATAGATGTTGGATTTTACGTTACGCTACTCCTATATTACGTCGTTATTTCCAACTGATCAGTTACTTAATTATAAAGACATGTGTAGTTATTAAGTCAGTCATTGCCATCAATGATTTATACATTTCAAAATAGATAATGCATTTTAATTTTTTTATTAGTTTATTATGTGAAAATTAGGTTTCAAATAAGTATAAAATATAACTTTAAAATGTATTTTCAGTGACTTAAATGTCAAAACCTTTTTGATAGTTGTCTTCCAGATAAGAATCCTTCTGCAATTTTTGTTCAAGAATAATAAAAATGGATAAAAATTCTTAAGACATTTAGCAAGTCCTAAGAATTTTATGTCATACCATGAATAAAAGTATGGCTTTGAACATTTCATTTTGAGTTTACGTAATTTTAATTACACATGTCATTTGGAATTGAAATACTTCTTGAGACGTTAAGCTTAAAGGTAACCGGTGTGATAAAACATCATTACAAAATGTTATAGAAATGTTTTTTATATCGTTCATACGTAGGTGGCATTTGAACTGAAACATTATTGCAATAAAATCGATATGAAAACGTGGTACTTGAACTGAAACATTATTGCAATACAACCGATATGACAACGTGGTACTTGAACTGAAACAATATTGCAATAAAATCGATATGACAACGTGGTACTTGAACTGAAACAATATTGCAATAAAATCGATATGACAACGTGGTACTTGAACTGAAACATTATTGCAATAAAATCGATATGACAACGTGGTACTTGAACTGAAATAATATTGCAATAAAATCGATATGACAACGTGGTACTTGAACTGAAACATTATTGTAATAGAACCGATATGACAACATGGTACTTAAACTAAAACATTATTGTAATAAAACCGATATGACAACATGGTACTTAAACTCAAACACTATTGTAGTAGAACCAATATGACAACATGGTACTTAAACTCAAATATTATTGTAATAGAACTGATATGACAACGTGGTATTTAAACTCAAACATTATTGTAATATAACCGATATGAAAACGGGTACTTGAACTGAAACATTATTGCAATACAACCGATATGACAACGTGGTACTTGAACTCAAACATTATTGTAATAGAACCGATTTTACAACATGGTACTTGAACAGAAACATTATTGTAATAGAACCGATATGACAACGTTGTTCTTGAACTGAAACATTGTTGTAATAAAACCGATATGACAACGAGGTACTTGAACTTTAACTTGTTGTAATATAACCGATATGACAATGTGGTACTTGAAACGAAATATTATTGTAATATAACCGATATGAGAAAGTGGTACTTGAAACGAAATATTATTGTAATATAACCGATATGAGAAAGTGGTACTTGAGCTTAAACATTATTGTAATAGAACCGATTTGACAACGTTGTAATTGAACTGAAACACTGCTGTAATAGAAACCGATAAGACAACGTGGTACTTCAAATTAAACATTGTTGTAATAGAACCGATATGACAATGTAGTACTTGAATTGAAACATTGTTGTAATAGAACCGATATGACAACGTTGTATTTGAACCCAAGCCTTATTGTAATGTAACCGATATGACAATGTAGTACTTGAATTGAAACATTGTTGTAATAGAACTGATATGACAACGTTGTATTTGAACCCAAGCCTTATTGTAATGTAACCGATATGACAATGTAGTACTTGAATTGAAACATTGTTGTAATAGAACCGATATGACAAGCGGTAATTGAACTGAAACGTAATTGCAATAGAATCCGATATGACAAACTGTAGAACTACACCAAAGGTTTCGTGAGTGGCGGCGTTATAGCCAGCCTAGTTAATGAAATGGTGTTAAACATTCTTTATACTATAAATCTAGAAAAGATAAGCAGTCCACCTAAAATCAAGTGATAAAAACGATTTTAGGTTTTATTTTTATGTTTCATCATATTTTAAAATATTTCTCGTAAAAGGAAATTTTCAAACCTCGACCGCAATATTTATAAAAAATTAAACTATGGTTGATAAACATACCTGGTGCAGGTGTCACCATGGTCTGTAGCAACCACATGTGAAAAAGACAAAGTCCTAGACCAGTATTCATGGTGAGTTGTCAATTTCAGTCTCTGACGCTCAGATAAAAATCTCTTGCATTCCAATTTCAAAGTTACTGTAGAAATAGTTTTTGCTCAGAGCCTTTCTACCTTGAACGTAGGCTATATCATCTTCCGTGATGTGGTAACGTTGTTGCAGTGTTACAAAATGTTTATAAGATCTGCCTATTGGCCCGTGTAAGCGGTTGCTCGCGCTTCCTCAAGTTTGTTTTTCCGTGAACATCAACTTCACCGCGCGTGTCGAAGACTGCAACTTGCTACTTCGTGCTACACGAGGCATGTGCTCCGATATTTCCTGCGCATGCGGAAAAGAGATGGAAAGTATCACCATTCGGACAAAGTTAAACAAGCCAGGGTAGTAGCTAGAAATCAAGCTTTCACGTTAAAAGCACTGCATGCCAAACGATCCGATGTGCACTTATCACATTTTAATGAAACCTGCAGAATGTGGGTGCAGTTACAACCTTTAACTCATTCCTAGATTGAAGTCTCGATTTAAAGGTAAACACATAGACTACATTTTTCACACTGGTGATGAGTTTTGACTTAGTTTCTTTGTTTCAACTCTTCAGAAGTACGCGGTATTTCAAATACCTCAATTACATTATGTGGATAATTAACTCTGTTGTAAATCGGCTTTTTTAACGTAAAACAGTGGAATAAATAATTTCTGAAAGTTTTACAACCTATTCATACTAAATATTTGACTCTCTGAAGTAAACTTTGTTTTGAAAGAAGGACTACCTATAATAGTTGTGATGATTAAGTGAGACTAACAACTCGCAGTTGATTTGCAGAAACTAGCAAATTTGATTAGGCAAAGCAGTACAAGAGTAATAGTTCCCCAATTAAAATCTGATAACCATTAAATCTGACGGAAACACAGTATTAGGAAGATATCAAACTCGGAATTATGGTATGCATCATTAGTCAGCCAATTTCTAAGCCTGATTTCCCTTTCACCATTTCCTCTTGTTTTTTTTTCTTCTTCTTGCTTCTCATGTGATGAAACGAACCCTTTGATCCACAGTATATTACTACAACTACAGACCTTTTTTAAAACTACACTGTCAACGTTTTATCATTTGATCCATTAGTTCTGAAAACGTAAAATCAAACTATCTTAATTTTATTTCAAAAACACTTATTTTGTGGAATTATGTATACTATTTATAACGGTTAAGATATCTAGAAAAATAATATGTTTAGTACCTCAGCGTAACATCGAAATTCTGTCACAACTGTCAGTACGAATGTTATAAAATGTATTTTAGAATATTTCGATGATGCGAATTCATGTTTTTTTCAAGTAAGGTAGACTAACCGGGGGGTATTGCGGTGAAGAAGTATTAGCGACTTATAAGTGAATATGTATTATTTCAGAACTATTTTCTAGCGTAACAAACTTAAAATACACTATACTGTTAAGTACAGGCACTTTACAAAAATTCGTACACATTTTTGGTGACTTCAAAGCCGTTTTCTAGCGTAACAAACGTGAAATACATTATACAGTAAAATCCAGGCACTTTACAAAAACTCATACACATTTTTGGAGACATCACAGTCATATTCAGAATTTTTGCACAAAGCTACACAATGGTTCTGTAAGCATGACTGCTCTTAACTTGGAGTTGACAGACTAGACAAAAGTCAGCCAGTCAAGATCACCAACTTCCAACTGTTGGGTTGCTCTTGTATGATTGAATAAGGGGGCTTAACGGTTTCTCTTATGACGCATCTACGCTTTTCTGGCAACGGAGATGTTGTTTGTTTGAAGTTAAGAACACAGCTACACAATGGGCTATCTGTGCTCTGCCCACAATGGGTATCGAAACCCGGTTTCTAGCGTTGTAAGTCCGCAAACATACCACTGTGCCACTGGTGAACACGGCAACGGAACAAAATAAATCGGTTTCACAATCTGGGAAAACTATCCTTAGACCACACCTGGTTAAACATCTGAGCTTGATCGAAACGATGAAGTCAATGCCAAGAGAATTAAGTATTGTCATCTAATTTTCCCAGTTACGTCAATCATCACTTCTTGTTTCGTGATAACTTTTAAGTTTATGTAGGAGAAGGGGAGGTAAGACAGTCCCCTCGGTTAAACGGACACGTCTGTCATCAGAATAGATTATACGTAACTATTGTTCACATGACCCCATGAATAAACACATCAGCAGGCGGGCGCAACGTGTACAATAAAACGCAACTTAACTGTTTTTTTTTTACAACTTTAATCTAAGGAAATAATTTTGAATTGTTTATGGTTACAAAGTAGTTTTTTTTTTTTTTTTTGAAAATAATTTTGCTGATTTCAAACAATGAGGAATTATTGACATCCGAAGAAGATGTAAGAGAAACAGTTCAGTTTCACTGATTTTTATAACGTGTGATTGCTTTATGATTAGTGACTTAGGGTAATCACCCACACCGACTCACGGAGTTGTAGGCCGTCTTACCTCACACCATTGACGTATATTCCAGACGTAAGCCTTGGCCGCAATGTAAGTCATTGCCCAACAATAGTATACGCATGTTCTCTTGCGCTATTGCGCTAGTTAATGCGCAACTTGCGCTTAGTGCACAGCTTTCCCGATTTAAATGCAGTTTCTAAATGCTGCATTTATATTAATTTGCAGTTTTACCAGTTAACTGGGGACACTTTACCCCATCCTGGAGGCTCATTTTATTCAATTCTGTAACTAAAATGACCACCAAAAATTATTCTAATTATTCTTTTAATGATAAATGACATTTAAAATATAACAGAGTTCATTTTAAGACATTTTTATTTTTCATAACTTCATTTTTATTTCAAAGTTAAGGTGACCGTCTTACCTCACCTTCCCCTTATGCCCTTCTGCCTTATTTATCTTGCCACGTTTCTGATATAAAAGACCATCATAAAGGTCTTCAGAGTCACGTCACAAAAACAGAACTGATCACAGTTCGAAACATAACGAGTTAGATTCGAACAATTTTTAAAGCCAGCGTTATAAAACCATTTACTGTCTTGTATGAGGATGGGAATCATCATAGCGATAACTTCAACCTATTAAACTCTACTTCAATTCGTTGGGATTGTATCGAGATATGACAATTTACACATTTGTAATAAGAAAAATATAAACATCGAAACTTTAAATCTCATCTCTTTATCAAATTAAGAAGATTAATTTTCTCGATTTTCCCAACCTACATATATCATTACAAAATGGAGTGTCGTTTGATCAGTTTCGTTTTTAAAATACCTATATGAAATGTTTAACATTTCCAATAAATATCGTACGTACTATCCAACCTTAGTTAGTTTTGGCCTAATCTAAGCAGATACTTTTTATATAAATAATATTTCGAGTGAGAGGTCCAGTAAAAGTTATTATATAAGCACCAAAGATACAATAATACGGTTAAGTAAATGTGGATGTTTGTTTTGTTCCTTTTAAATGCTCTCATGTCCCCCCCCCCAAAAAAAAATATCTGCAATGACTAAGTGCCACTAAACTAATCAGCAGCTATAATCTGTTCCGTTTAACAGGACAGTACTGCAGAAAAACACGACGTACAGGCGCGGAATTACACTTTAACAAGTATGGCTATGTCGATACTTTTTATGTGAGTCCTTAGAAAAGCTCTATCAAACAATAGACGATGGTAGTTCTAGCCATTTTTTTCAGTTATCTAAAGTGTCTGAAAGTTTCGAATTTAACGTGTGTTACATTTATCTCTGAAGAAACAAAAGTAGAAAGAAAACAATATATCGTCGCAGTTCCAGTGTTTGTATTACTAGATAAACTTTAAATGATATGACTGTCGGAGGAAAATCAACCTATTTCAGTACAGTATGATAAGAGTTTTCAACTAGGAATAGCTCTTTTTGTGTGGGGTATTGATGTGGCGACAGTTTTAAACTAGAAATAACTCTTTTCGTGTGAGGGTACTGATGTGGCGACAGTTACAAACTAGTAATAACTCTTTTTGTGTGAAGATATTGATGTGGCAACAGTTATAAACTAGGAAAAACTCTATTCATGCGAGGATATTGCAAACAGATAGTACACCAAACAATAACAATTTCTTTAGCAAGACTAGATTACAGCGTTTACTTTATGGATATTGTACTTCACAACATCGAATCATATCTTAATATAAAAAAACAGTTGCGTCAAGCCTAAATAAGATAAACCGGCTTTACGCACTATTTTAATAATACTTTTATGTTTCTTCTCATTATCATACAAGAGATAGTTAACATTGTCACATCATTAATCGATCTAAACATGTAAGACAAACAACTGTAGTTGATTTTATTTTGTGAAAAGGAAACGTGTGTATTTCGGTAGCCTACTTTTCTGTGGCGAAGGAGTTTTTAGAGAACAACCTTTTGAACCTTCTAGAAAACTTGAATGTTATTCGTTTTATCAGAGATATTTAAGAAACAGACCCGAAGGAAGCGGTAAGGCCAGTCAAGCCATGATCTGACCACTTTTTCATGCCATGTATAGCTAGAACGTATGTATTAAAACTCGTTTCTTTACTGTGTATGCAGTATTTGTGGTTAAGATTGCTCGAGATTCAATTTCATAGCATGCCCCCAGATCCCCTTAGAAATGGCAATGTGGAAATGGCCTGACCACTCCAAAATTACTTCCTACAGTAATGTAAAAAAACAGCAGGATTATGTTCAGTATTTGTTATCATCATCAGATGATGACAAAACCTTGCCGAAACGTTGTACATATGCTGTTATGTTAAACTTAAATTAAAGTTTTTCCTCATTACCCATTCAAGCCGCCTCCAAGCATTATTGGTCTCAAAGTTGGTTCCTCGTCATCGAATTTGAATTCATCACAGCAGGATTATATTCATTATTTGTTATTATCATCAGATAAGTGTATGCCTTATCAAGAAACGGATTTACACTTCCTTATCCTCCCCTCAGTGGCACAGCGGTATGTCTGCTAGAAACCAGGTTTCGATACCCGTGTAGCTTTGTGCTTAATAAAAAACATCAACAACTATACTTGCTTAAATAGTTGCTATCCAAGTCTTCTAATGAAACTCTCTAAACGGTCTTAAGATTATGGAATAAATAAACAGAAGACTCATACATATACATACATCTATATAAATATATGTATTATACATATATATATATATAACATCAAGAGGCTGTTCTCATTTACATGAGATGAATAGTTATGGCACTCTCGTCTTGTTT